TGATGCAAACAGCTTCCACTGTCCTGCCTCTCTTTTATTCCTCTCAACCTAACCCCAATCACAGATTCTTAACCTTTCTTTTTTTTTTCCTTTTAGCCTTCTTTACTCATGTCACTCTGCACTTAAGATTTGTTTTGCTTATGACTACTCCTTACCTATATTTGCCTTCCATTTCCCCTTTCTGTTTCTTCTTTTCTCTGTTGAGTGTATTTCTGAACCAAACTCTTTGTGTATTTTTCTATGTATTTATGTGTGTGTCCTAATCTCCTTTGACCAGATAAGATGAAAGTGAGGTTCAAGTGATACCCATTCCTCTTCCTCCTTATTCCTCCCCTTTTCTTCCCTAATGTATCCTTTATCCTCTTCCCTTCCCTTTATTCTTCTGAAGTCATCAAAATACAGTAACAAAAACAAAAAAACAATTCCTAGACCTTTCATCTTACTTAACTCCCTCTATGACCCCTGATGACATTATGGTTTTTAGAATGCAAACACTTCATCCTCAGAGTATTTTCCAATTGCTCACTTATGTTTACCTTTTTGTGTTTCTCTTGATGTGTTTGTATTTCTTTTATTTTATTTTTTTACTTTTTAATAGTACTTTATTTTTTCCAATTACATGTAAAGACAAATTTTAACTTTCATCTAAAAAAATTTTAGGTTCCAAATTTTTTCCTTCCTCCCTTACTTCCCCTGTCCCTAAGATGGTAAGCAATTTGATATAGGTTATATATGTACAATCATTTAAAACATATTTCCATATTAGTCATGTTGTGAAAGAAGAAACAGACCAAAAGAAAAAAACATGAAAAAAATAAAGAAAGTGAAAATAATATGCTTTGATCTGTATTCAGACTCTATCAGTTTTTTCTCTGGATGTGGATAGCATTTTTCCTCATGAGTCCTTTGGAATTGTCTTGGATCACTGTGTCGCTGAGAATAGCTAAGTCATTCATAGTTGATCATTATACAATGTTGCTGTTATTATGTACAATGTTCTCTTAGTCAAGCAATATATCAATTATGTATGAAATCATGCAAAACATATTTCCATATTAACCATGTTGTAAAAAAAATGAAAAATTTAAAAAATGAAAAAATTATACTTCAATCTGTACTCGGTTCTCCGAAATTCAGTTCACCAGTTCTCTCTCTGGAGGTGAGTAGCATTTTTTATCATGAGTTCTTTGGACTTATCTTAGGTGATTATTGTTCAGAGTAGCTAAGTCTTTCACAGTTTATCACTGTGACAATGTTTCTGTTACTGTGTACAGATGTGTTTGTATTTCAAAGTTTCTATTCAGCTCTAGTCTTTTCCTCAGGAATGCTTGGAAATCTAATCAAAAGTCCATTCCTGCTCTGTCCTCTGCCTCTTCTCCCCCCCCCCCCCAATAGGTTGCTATTCAGTGTTGCTGGTTATTATTTTTAGTTGTAAACCTTTGTCTTTGACCCTTTGGAATATCATCCTCTGTGCTCTCCACCCTTCTATAATGGTAGCTGCTGTATCGTATATCATCCTGACTGGTTACTCAGAACTTGGCCTCTTTCTGGAAGCTTGCAGTATTTTTTCTTTGACCTACAAACTCTGGATTTTGGCTATGATGGTCCCAGGAGTTTCATTTGGGTTTTTTTTTTTTTTCCAGGAGGTGACAGGTGTATTCTATTTCCACTTTGCCCTCTGGTTTTAAGAGATCTGGGGAGTTTTCTTTCATTATTTTAAAAAATATTATATTCAGGCTTTTTCTGGGGGGGCAGGCAATCATGCCTTTTAAGTATTCCAGTGATTCTTAAATTTTCTTTCCTTGTTCTGTTTTCCAAGTGAGTTTTTTTTTTTTGTTTTGAGTTAATTGGGGTTAAGTGACTTGCCCAGGATCACACAGCTAGTAAGTGTCAAGTGTTGGGTCTGAGGTTGGATTTGAACTCAGGTCCTCCTAACTTCAGGGCCAATGCTCTATCCACTGTGCCACGTAGCTGCCCCTCAAGTGAGTTTTTAAAGAAACTAAGATAACTTAAGTTTTATCCTATTTTCTCAATCTTTTAACTCTGCTTTAATATTTCTTGTCTCAAAACCATTAAGTTCTGCTTAGTCTACTCTAATTTTCAGGGAGCCTGATACTGGGAATTCAAAAGTAAGGTTTTGTACCTCTTCTACTAAGCTGCTAATATTCTTTCTAAGTCTCTTCTCCATAATTCTCATTTCTATTCAAGTCTTTCCTCTAATCCTCTTATTTCATTTATAATATTTTTAATTCTTAAAAACTCTTGCATAATTTCTTCTAGGAATTCTAATTGGTCTATGGACAAGCTGTGTTTTTGAGGCTTTGCTTATAGCTGTTTTGGACTTATTCTTTCCTTCTGGGTTTATGTCTTGGGTATCCTTGGCATCACAAGAGCTGTGTATATTGTTTGTTTTCTCATTCTTTCAGATATCTACTTTGAGAAACCAGAGCGTGGCCGTGCTGAGTGCTCTAGACACCCCGTTCAAACTCTTGGCCTCTCTGGAAGATTGCTGACTTCTGGTCCTGGTACCAAGTCTCCAAATGGCTCTGGATATCTTGTTCTACTGGCATATCTCTGAGTCTATGATCCTGGTCCATTCTTAAACCACAGTTCATGTCTGGTCACTTGCCTGTAGGTCAAACTTGCTGACTCACTCTAGTTTTTCCTTTGATTTCCCTGTCAGTCTCAGTCTGGCATTCTTCTTAGTTCATTGCTGGAGCAGCTGTAGAGAAAGTTAGGCGGTACTGTTTCTTCCTACCTGATCATCTTGGCTCAATTTCATTAGTCCTTTTTCAAATGCATCTGCAACCAACTTTGGTTGGAACATTTTATTGACCATGTGGTTAGCTAACTAGAACCAGCTGCAAAATGTCTACACATGTTCCATCTTTCCAAAGCACTTCCTTGAAACCATTACTTGTCCTCATGACTCTCCCAGAAGTAGGTTCCTGTCTTCCTCCACATTGGGAGAAACCATCAGAGACATTCTGGGCATTTAACAATCCCCATTAAAATAAGATTACATTCTTAATATTTTGAGTAATATTCCATATGATCTCCTAGTTAAATTCTGAATCCAGTAAGTGTGGGTTTAAACTGCTCAGGGATGCCAAATTGTGAGTCATGCGCCAGTGGGACAGCAGCCTAAGAGTTTTCAGGTAAATGCTCTCTGGGATACCAAAGGTTTTTGAGGCAATGAAGATAGCTACCCAAAGGGTGGCTCAAGGAGGCTGCCACCTGGTGGACAATTCAGATATCACTCCAGGGACAATTAATACAGATAACAGATGGTAAAGACAGTACATCTGCCCATTTAGACCTTCTATTACTAGTGTCCCAAGTGTTAGATGTTTCATACCCCAAAAGAATGTAAGCTCTTTAAGGGCAGAGCTAATATTTCCTTTTTGTCTTTGTATCTTCAGTACCTAGCACAGAATAGGCATTGTTGATTATTCTGAATCAAGGTCTGCTTAGCATAGTAGAGATCCAGCCTCAACCTGGATTCAAATTCAGTCTTTGTCACATACTGACAATATAATTCTGGGTAAGTCATTTAAGCTCTCAGTGGCCCCCAAGTAGCTCTCTAAGACTACAGAACTGCAGAGTAGCTGACCATCTGGTTTAACAGACTGGCTGTTCCCTACATGGATGAAATCACAAGTCCAGACCAAAACATTTTTCTTCTCTATCCAGCAGATTTAGGAGTGGAAGGGATCTCAGAGTCATCTCCTCGTTTAAGAGATGCAGAAACTCAGGCTGAGAAAAGTTGGGTAACTTGCTCAGGGTCACACAACCTATCTTTGAACTCAGTTCTTCCTAATTCCAGCCAACCTACACTGAACAGAAAGTTGGACCCAGAGTCGGAAGGGCCCAAGTTTAAATCTAGCCTTACACACTCACTAGCTGTGCCAACATTGGGCAAGCCGCTTGTCAGCCTCATTTTCTTCATCTGTAAAAAGGGGATAACAATAGCCCCTCCTCCCAAGCTTCTTGTGAAGATCAAATGAGACAATATTTCTAAAGTGCTTTGCCAACCTTAAAGCACTCTATAAATGCTAGCCATTATTTCTTTTAAAAGAGCCAGAATTAGAATTTGAATTTAGGCTCCAACTCCAGTACGTTTTCCACTGAACTCAAGCTGGCTCCCAACAGTGCTGGTTGCACTAGCACTGCATGCAGTAGGAGCTTAATGTCTGTTGCACTGAAAAGGCTCATGTCAGATTCTTCACGACTCCACTTAGTGGTTTGTTTTGTTCTGTTTTTTTGCAAAGATACCTTCTCCAGCTCATTTTTACAGATGTGCAAACTAAGGCAAACTGGGTTAAATGGCCTGTCCAGGGTCACACCGTTAGTATCTGAGGCCGCATTTGAACTCACGGAAATGAGCCTTTCTCATTCCAAGCCCAGTGCTCTCTGTGCTCCTGCTATTTATTTTTAACTCCATTTTACTGATGAGGAAGCTGAGATTCATTCTAAACCGCCTCTAACAAACGCCTAGATGAGTGGGCGTCGGCCTTCGGCTCCACCGGCTTCCGCCTTTAGCCCAGGAAGGATGCGGCTGATCGACCTCCTCAGCCCGACTTCAGGCTCAGGGCTAGGACGGGCCAGGACGGCGGGCGCCTGCGCACTCAGCTCCGGAACCCTCGCCCCGCCCCTCCGCGTCCCCGCCCCTCGCCGGGCTCCTCCTCACCCCTCCTCCGGGCCGTGGGCTCGCGCAGCCAGAGAGGTCGCGTTGTGCGGAAGTGCGGCTGACGTGTCCCGGCTGCGCGGGGGATTGTGGGGAGACTCGGCTAATGGCGGCGGAGAGACGGAGCGCCGGGCACAGCGGGCGCTGAAGCTTCCTGCCCGCTTGGCCGCTGGCACCGCCGCAGCGGGAGGAGGCGGGGGTGGGCCGCTGGCGACCCCAGCAGCTGTCGGTGCCGGGGCCGAAGGGCCGCTCCTGCAGGCCCGGCGGAGCCGAAGGGCCGAGACGGGAAGAGGGCGAGAGGCGGCTGTGGGGGCCCGCAGCCTCGGGTCTCCGCCGCCACGGAGCCCGGAGCGAGGCTGCTGCTGAGGGCGTGTGAATCAGCAACCGGGGGACGGTCGTCCCGGAGCTCGGGGGGATCATGTCCTGCACGAACAGCCCCGAGGCGGTGAAGAAGCTGCTGGAGAACATGCAGAGCGACCTGCGGGCCCTGTCCCTGGAGTGCAAAAAGAAATTCCCACCTGTCAAGGAGGTAGGAGGGGCTCGGCGGCCGCCACGGGGCGTCGCCTTCCTGGCTCAGCCCCCACCCCCGCCTGGCCTGACTCTGACCCTTCCACCTCCCCGAGTGGGCCTGGGGGGCCGGGACCTAGCCTCCTCACTCGCCCGTCTGCGAGGGGCGAGGGGCGAGGGAGAGAGGGTCTTCGTTCTCCTGCCTCTGCCCCGCCACGCCTTCCTCTCTCCTTTCTCCCCTCTTCTTCTCCCCTCCCCCCATTTCAATTTACAGTAGAAGTTTGTGAAGGGAGCGGGGTTAATTTAGTCCTAATGACCCCCACTAGACTTCTCCCCCCGCCCCCGCCCCCCTTTTTTTTTTCACCTTCCGAGCTAGCTGGAAAAGTTCAGTGATGGGTGAGCTGGCCCAAATAGTTTGGATCTTCTAAGACTTGAGCCCCCAACTGTCCCGTAAATTTGTGATGAAAGCTACATAATTCACATTTGCAGAGTATATGAGAAGTCGCATGTGCCCTTCCACTCCTACCCTAGGTACCCCAGCACAATTTTCTTAAGTATCTTTACTTATTTTCTTAAGTGTCCTTAATGCAGTTTTCTGCTTTTGCATCAAGATTTTTGGGACACCTTTTTGAGCTTTTAATAGCTGAAAATGTCACTTAAGACTTTGGGATACCCTGTAAGAGGAACATACTTTTAGACCTGGAAGGAATCTTAGAAATGATCAAGTTTGGGGATTCTTAATCTTTCACGTGTCTTGGACTTCTTTGACAGTCTGATGAAACTTATGGACCTCCTTTTCAGAATAACTTATAAACTAACTAAAATACATGAGATTAGAAAGGAGATCAGTTATAATGAAATGAAGTTTTCAAAATATGTGAAAAAAAGTTCACAGACTTCCAGGTTAAGAGCCCCTTCTTCTGTTTACAGATGAGGAAACTGAAGCCCAGAGAAATTGAGTGATTTACCTAAGGTCACATGGATAATAAGTGACAAATCTGGGATGTTAGATGCTGGTACTCATTTTAATTTTAATATCAGGAAACATTAATGAACTTTTGAACACTAACCTCTCCACTCCCTTGCTGACTTTAATTATTATCTCTGTGCTGATGACTCCCTGATCCTAAGTTTCCATCCCTAGTCCCAAATCACCAGTTACTTAACTGATTATTTCTAATTGCATATATGTCTTATCCCTGTCTTAAACTCATTGTGGCCAAAGTTGAACTTAGTATCTTCCCCCTCAAATTACCACTTTCTGAACATCCGTGTTTCTGTCAAAGGCACAACAGTTGCTTAGGTGTCATGGTGTCATCCTCAACTCAAAGATTTACTAAGTGTCCACTGTATGCCAAGCACTGGGAATAAAAAACAAACTGTCTTTTGACGGTCCCTGCCTTCAAAGAACTTACAATATAATGGGAGAGACGACATGCAAACAACATGTACAAAACAACTATATACAGAATAAATAGGAAATAATCAACAGTGAGAAGGTGTTGGAATTAAGAGGGGTTGGAGAACGCTTCTAGTGAAAGATATTTTAGTTGAAACTTCAGGGGAGTCAGGCAGAGATGAGGAGGGAGACCTAGGGGATGGTCAGAGAAAATGCCCAGAGGTGAAAGATTTAGTGTCCTGTCCATTGAACAGCCAGAAAGCCAGTGTTACTGGGTGGAAGAGGACTTGTTGGAAAGTAAGGTATAAGAAGGCTGAAAAGGTAGGAGAGGGCTGGTTATGAAGGCTTTGAATCTCAAACAGAGCATTTTGTATTTGATCCTGGAGGCAGTAGGAAGTCACTGGAGTCTATTGAGTAGTGAGGTGGCATGAATAGACCTGCGCTTTGGGAAAATCACTTTAGTAGCTGAATGGAGGATGGATTAGAGTGGGAAGAGCCTTGAGGAGCTCACTTGCATGTACTCCACAAATCTGCTATGTTGTTAAATCTTGTTTCTACCTCTCCAGCATTGCTTGCATTATTCCTTGATCTTACTACTCATATAACCCACTCTAGTTCAAGCCCTCATCACCTCGTTTGGACTATTGCAATAGCCTCCTAATTGGTCTTCCTGTCTCAAGGTTCTACCTATTCCTAAACAGAGTTGCAAAAGTGATATTTCTTAAGTGCAGGTCTCAATGTGCCTTTTTCCTATTTAGTAAACTACACTGGTTCTTCACTTCTTCCATCGAACATAATCTACTCTATTTGCTATTGAAAATCTATCACATACTGGTCCCAACCTACTTTCCAGCCTTAACATTACTCATCTCTTCTTGCAATCTCCAGTCCAGCCAAATTGGCCTTCTTTGCAGTTTGTTACACAGGACATTCCAGCTTTTGTGTTTCAGTGACTTTACACTGACTGTCCCTCATCCCTGGAATGTGCTCCCTGCTCACCTTTGCCTCTTGTTTCCTTTAAAACTCAGCTCAGCCACAACCACCTATAAGAAACATTTCTTGATCCTGCCCTTTATCCCAAAATTATCCTTATGTTTATGTTTATATTTGTATTTATTTTATTTATATATTTATATTTAAATATAAATATATTTATATTACCCTTTTGTTTATATCCTGTGTATACTTATTATTGCACATCTTTCCTGATAGAACCTAAGTTCAAATTACTTAACCTTCCTGGCCCTTAATTTTCTCATTTGTAAAATGAGTGGGTTGGACTAGATGAGCTCTGAAATCCCATCCAACTCTGGATCTGTTGTGTTCCTTGAAGGCAGGAGTTGTTTCATTTTTTTTCTTTAAAACTTCTCTGCCTAGCATAATGCCTGGTACATAGTAGGTGCTTAGTAAATGCTTTTTGTTTGATTACTTCTGGGGGGAAACTGCATGTCTTTATTGTTGTTCAGTAGTGTCTTGACTCTTCATGACCCCATTTGGGGTTTTCTTGGTAAAGATATTGGAATGGTTTGTCATTTTCTTCTCCAGCTCATTTTGTAGGTGAGAAAACTGAAGTAAACAAGGTTAAATGATTTGCCTAGGGTCACACAGCTTGTACATGTCAGAGGCCAAATTTGAACTCAGATCTTTCTGACTCCAGGCCCAGCACTCTTATGTATAAAATTGGTATGGTCACAATCACTGTCCTTCCCTTTTGCTTCCCAGTTTGGGGCATCAATAGCATATAAAGGTCAGGTTGGAGTAAGTTCAGTTGCATGCTGTGTTTTTTTTTTTTCTGATAATTATTCTTTCTTTGAGCTTTATGAGAGGATAATTTGATTTTTAACTGTCCATAGACTCCGTGACTTTCATATCAGTAATAATGTTTCTTTTCCTGACTCTAAACGTTATCAGTTTCATTTTTTGTGATGTTAGTGTTTATCATGTCCAGTGCCTACTGGTTCATAAAGAGAAAGTATTCCAGTTGTAATAGGCATGAGAATTCTGTGTAGACGGTGAGTCTTTTATCTTCTCATTTTTTATTTTTGACCCTTGATTTTCAGTAAAAATTTTTCATCATCTATCTTGCTTTTGCATTGAAGTCACTGAGTATCAAAGTATATGTTGATTTAATTTGGAGAGTCTTAGAAATTTTCTTTTGTTGTTAGAAATAGAATTAGGGATGATTGAATTGGGATTAGAAACAGATTGGTGTATAAACTGCAGTTGTTTTCATGATGGTATTTTTGTAAATATTATCATGAACTTTGCAATAAGTGATGATCAAATGTTCTGTGAAGTGATGTTTGTTGATTCCTTTGGATACATGATAAAGTCAACTCATTTATTTACCTCTCCAACAATTTCCCTCCATCTATTAAAATGAGAATGACAATATTGACACAATTCAGTCCCTGAAGTATGTCATTTTGTTGACCGTTGCACAAAGTGATCACATTTAGAGTATTAATAATGAAGTTAATATTTATAAATGGTCTAAAAACCATGTGATTCTTAGTAGCCTTTGCCCCCTCTTTCCTTAACTTTGCTACTGTCCTTGCAAAAGTGGAAGGGGATTGCTTAGGACTGAGGACCATTATATATTTTTTGGTTTTTCATAGGTGGCCATGGATTTGTCAAGTGGACAACCTGGTGGCAGTGAAAGTGACTAAACTGGCATAGGCCTCTGAAAATACAATTCCCAGGACTATACTTGAACCCCTACTAGGATATATGATTTATTTATTTATTTTTGTTTTTTTTTTACTGATAAATTCTCAATGTAGTAAATATTTTTGATACACAGTTTAACATTTAATATTTTAGAGAAGAGACTATGAATAGACAATTTTGCTTATATAAAAATAAAAAGTTTTTGCTCAAGCAAAACTAGTGTAGCTAAAATTAGAAGGGAAACAAGTAATAGAAAAACCTTTACATCAAATTTCTCTGATAAAGGTCTCATACAGGGTATTTCTTTCTCTCTTTTTTTTCCTGTTTCTTTTTATTTATTTTTTTTAAAATGAAATTCCACAAGATTTTGAGTTCTAAATTTTCACCCCATCTCGCCCCTTCCCCCACCCCAAGATGGCATGCATTCTAAATACCCCTTCCCCTAGTCTGCCTTCTCTTCTATCTCTCCCCCCCTTATCTTATCCCCTTCCCTTTCAATTTTCCTGTAGGGCAGGATGGATTTCTGTACCCCGTTTCCTGTATTTCTTATTTCCCGGTTGCATGTGAAAACATTTTTTTTAAACATGTGTTTTTAAAACTTTGGGTTCCAAATTTTCTCCCTTCCTCCCTCCCCACCCACCCTCATTGATAAGGCAAGCAACTAAATATAGGTTATATACGTGCAGTTATGCAAAACACTTCCATAGTAGACATGCTGTGAAAAATTAACTCTACTTCCCTTAATCCTATTCCGCCCCCCCCATTTATTCTATTCTTTCTTTTGACCCTGTCCCTCCTCAGAAGTATTTGCTTCTGATTACTCTCTTTCCCAGTCTGTCCTCCTCTCTGTCATTCCCCTACTCTCTTGTCCCCTCCCCCCCCCATTTTCCTGTAGGGTAAGACAGATTTCCACACCCGATTGAGTGTGTATGTTATTCCCTCCTTAAGTCAGA